TAAAATATATATTATTATAAAGGCTATTGGGCTATAGGCTAGAAAATATTAGCATAATAACTATAAAAAGGATTCGCTTCCAATATGTTTCACACTTATTCAAAACTACAGGTTTGCCTGACTTCGCACCGGGTTCATTATAAAAATGAGAAATCGAGAAACGTTTAGATTTTAATAATTCATTTTTATCTAAAATATTTTTTTTACCGTAGACGTAGGTAAGTACATACAGTCTGGAATGACTTAAAACACTACTGATGATGATTCTTTATCAGTTACTTATTATGAATGAAGTTCGTAATAAAAAAAACATTCGTTCTCAATTGCATATCTGTATTCAGGTGTTTCGAAATGGCAGTGCCTGTTTAAACATGCAATGCCAGGAGCCGTTGGGAAATAAGCAAGTCGTTCTGCGTGAAGCTTTCATTTCGTCGTTTTATTAAGGTATGATAAAATGGGACTGCTTTTTTGAGCATCTCTATCTATGTTTTTAAATTTTTGTGTTTCAAGCGAATAACTACACTGGACTGCAATACTAAGAATCACACTTTTAAAATTGCAATAACTTTTTAAGTACACATTAGATATACTTTCGAAATAAAAAGGGCTCGAAAAAGAGTTAAGCTTTGTACTACAATTTCAAACATGATAAAATTTGCTTTAAAATCTTTTCAGTGTCCCGTAGTCCTGACAAGAAACCCTAATAGTTCGTCATGTCCGTCTGTCCGTCCCCAGTTTTCCTTAGAGAATGGTTAAATTAAAATTATTAGTACTAGAGAGCTGTCATTTTGTGGAGATATGTTTATCAATCACTTCAACAAAATTTATTTTAAAATATATTTTATTAGGGTAGGTACCCTAAATGAAAGCTGGGGTTTGTTTTATTTAATTGCAGTTTTTGATAAATATTTTTTACAAGATCCTAACTGATTAAAACCATGTTGAAACCAAGTGGTGAACAGCAACTCAGTTCTTGATAAGTTTGAAAACAGCACTGAATCCCAACAGTGGTGTCGATTCTGGCATGATCTCTATATATATGTAAACTTAAATTTGACAACAGTGTATCCTAGTCATTCTCTATACAGAATGAAAAGAAGAGACTGATGTTAGTTTTAAGTTTAGAGAATCATGCCAGAATCGACACCATTGTTAATTTTACTTTTAATGTATTTTAGATTAAAGTAAAATGTAAGAATTATATCTTGATTAGTCATGTTCTCATAATGTTCAGTCGAAGTTTTTTCTAGTGAATGAAGATTCTACTTAGTGAATTGTCAAAATTTATCTGAGTGTAAAAAATACATTGACGTATTACATTTCTCATAGTCTGTACAAATATCTTTACGCACTGGTGGCACAACAAGCTTCCACTAATTCAGTTCTTATGAATTCAATCAATTATTTTGTCCCTAATCTAATTGGGTAGTTTTTGTGCATGTACTGTAGTATTCGTAGGTGGGATTCTAATTAAACATTGACAGCTCGCTTATGTACTTACGTACCACTTAATAAATTTGGATATCTCGGTTTCTTATTTTAAAGATTTGGGTTTGAGTGCAAGCGTCAATGGTTGAAAATTGACACATCTCTTATCTATTAGACAAGTCCGTCCGTCCGTCTGTCTGTGGTGCTGTTTCAGCGGCCAAACCGTAAGAGATAGATAAAGAGAATGTTTAAGTTATAAGTTAAGAATAGTCTGATAAGACTACAAACCGGATTTGAGTAACGTAGCACTTCCGGTTTTCGAGAAATCACGAATTTCAAACGAAACCACACAAATCTCCGAAGTTCTCAATTAATTAAATACATTTTTTTTAAAATCAGGTTTTGGTGAACATTTGATTCACTGGTTTGCTAGTATGTAATAATTAAACCTTCTCAATAATTAAAGATGAAGTTAATTAAGTAATAGTAACTACACACGTGGGTATCATCCCTATTTCAGAAGTCGTTTTTGTTCATTTCGATTTTAATGTTATTATTCTGTTAACTTATGGTAGTCGTAAAAGAAAATTTAGAGAGGGTGCGATTTATTTTCAAATACAAAAAATTAAGTTCCCCCTTTTTTATTGTTGTTAAGTGTAAAATGGGTTGGTAGAAGCACAGAACTCAAACTTAAAAAAAATAAAGACATGTGATCTCTTTGTCCTCCCGACTATCCACTAAGTTTGTAAAGAAACTAGTTTAATTCAACCACAAACATGGTGCAATGAATGCCTTCAATTAGTTTAAATAACGTTGTATCTGTGCCTTTTTACTGGAACTGGAAATGTAAAGTGGCTTCAGATAAATCTATATTGTACTAGCTTTTGCCCGCGACTTTGTCCGCGTGGAATTAGTTATATGGGTGGCTAATTTTTTGTCCAATCTGCGTTTCCATCAATCTGCTTACTATGTAAATAGCAAAAGGTGAAAATGCGAGTTAAAATTTAATTTTCCATCATCGTCAACCCATTGAGCCCCCACTGCTGCGGCACAGGTCTTTTCTATAGATGAGATAGGGAGATTACGACTTGACCTAACACGCGGGCTCAGTGTGTATTTGTGGGTACAATGACTGCTAATGCATAAGTCAGGATCAACGGCTCAACGTGCCTGTCGAACCAAGGAGGAACTCGAGATATTACATTTTTGTTCACCCATCCGATAACCGGTCATTGCGAAAGTTGCTTAACTTCTCCGATAACTGACCGAACCCGCTAACCACTTGCGCCTCATCCTAGGGTACCTACTATTAGGGTATACAACCTTATCCTCATAATATTATGAATGTAAAAGTTTGTATGATGGTTACTCAATCATGCAAAAACGGCTGAACGGATTCGGTGAAATTTGGCGTACATATTGCTTTATTTTCTGGATTGAGATATAGGATTTTGGATTGACATATTAGCACGGAGAAAATATTAGGTTCCGGAAGGGTTCCCGAAAAACTAATGTTAACGCGGACGAAGTCGCGGGTAAGTGCGTGTAATATTATAAATGTGAAAGTTTGTCTATAGAGTGGACCTGTACCGCAGCAGTGGGGACTGTATAGATGATGATGAAAAATTAAATTTTTACTTGCATTTTCACCTCTTGCTATTTATATAGTAATCAGATGAAAACGCAGATTGGGCAAAAATAAGCTACCCAAATCACTAATTCCACGCGGACGAAGTTGGGTTGGGGTCTCTTATCATTACCGAGAAAAGCCGCTCCAAATGCTTGCTACAGAGGGACACAATAAGATATCGCACTTTAAAAAAGGTAATTAGCACAAAATAGGTAGTAAATAGGTGGTAATAATTTAGGTGCACGCATACTAAACAGATAACACTTTTTCACTTTTTATCTAAACATAAATGAATGAATCAAACTCGGGAATCCTATAGATTTTAAAACTTAAACAAATTCAAACCTAAACACTTACGATTTTGAAATCAATCTGCGCCATTTATTTCTGTATTAATAGTTACATTTTGTATGAAATCACAGTATCGAACTTCGCATGGCTTTAAATACATGGAATATTTTTTCCCGTTTTTGCAACATTTTTCATCGGTGCTCCGCTCCAACTAGTTGTAGCGCGATTTAATATAGCCTGTAGCCTTTCTCGATAAATGCCCGAACCAATACAAAAATGATTTTTCAAATCCGTCTAGTAGTTCCTAAGATTAACGCGTTCAACCACACAAACAATCAATCAAACACACAAACTGTTCAGCTGAATTATATTAGTATAGATTTGTAAAAGTAACTTGGATATGTATTCTATCCGTTATCCTAGCATCCCATAACACAAGCTCTGTGAAAAATCGGTACATTATCTGTTTATTGAAAATAATTTTTAGAGTAAAAGACGTCGTAAAATTAATGCTGAAGTAAACAACGGTTGGACAGTGAATACAATGAACACTTTACGATGTTCACGCGTAGGATAATGAAATTTAATGCTTCAATACCAATAAATCGTAGATAGATGTTTTTAAATACCTATTAAGCTTTATGGCTGGGAAACAATTGATAATTTCATAGCAGAACACTGAACTGAATCTCGGTTAATTTTTTGCCTTCATGGAAGCAAAAAGGAAAAACTCTCATCAAGATATTTTTGTTATGATGCTAACATTGCACAATAATATAGAATGAATTGCTCACTTTGCCTTCAAAAGGCGTGCACATGCAATTTTTTGCTCAGAACGGACACCGCGAGTAATCACTCGTACTTGCACGCTCGCTTATAGATCAGCGATAAAACTATCGGAACTACACTTTGTTTTGTCGACTCGTTTATAGTTTCTAGCTCTACTCGCTTATCGTTCATCGTCGGCGGTAGCACAAATGCTCAACTTATCAATTATTCAATCAAAATTATTATCACAAATAAAATCTGCTAGTACTGTTGTCAGCTCCTGTTGCTCAAAACCATCTCAAAACATATTAATGGAATACCTAACATGTTGTCATTTCTGATTTTTATTACAATTAATCTCACAGTTTATATCTCTCAAAACAAATTAATCTTATAAATAAGTTTTCAAGTCAATAAAAGCTTCGGCAAGAAATCAGATCTAAACAGCTGCGTTGAAGAAATTTACAATGTTTAACTTCATCATCACCATCAGCCTGTTAATGTCCCCAGTGCTGGGCTATCCTCATGGATGGAATAAAGAGATTCGGCCGTGACCCACCACGCGGGCCAAGTGCGGATTGGTAGGTGCTAACGACTGCAGATGCACCTGGGACCAAAAGCTTTATATTCCCTTCCAAGCTTCCGAAGGACGGAGGAGCTTAAGATAGTAAGTTTTTTGGTCATCCATTCAATGACCGATCATTGCAAAAGTAGCTTAACTTCCACGATTCTAGGCCGAATGTGCTAGCAACCTGCGTCATCAAGCTCCTCAATTCAAAGTTTAACTTTAGATGTTCCAAATTATTAAGGTCAGATTTGGCGAGTCTATATTTATGAAATAGCAACGTGAGAGGAAACGGTTATCTTCTAAAGGTGAACTTACCCGTCCTTCGCTCTTCCAATAGATAAAGAAACCATATTCATCTACTTTGAAAAGGCAGTTCTGTTCAAATTCCGTATTGTCCTTTTCTTCGGTCCATCTGTCGAACACAGCACCCTGTAACAAAGCGGAATAAACTGATTGAAATTACCTATTTTAAACATTATTTCAAAAGGAGGAGGTTGGCACGTGCAGTTCTTATAAGTTTATTTGCTAAAATAAGATATAACTTCTGGTGAAAGCTTGAAAGGGATGAAAAGCTTTACAACTTTTGTAATAAATAATCATACAAACTAGGATTAAGCTCAGCTTTACGAAACGATTGAATATAAGATAGATATATACATTCAAAGGAACAGCTTACCCATCTTCACGCTGAAATTTGAAAGGAAAGGTCGGTGAAAAAATCCCCACCTTAGCAATGGTGTTAATGTTTGGTTTGGTGTGAAGGTGGAAAATGCGCGCATTTTGGTGAAATATGTTTCATGAGACGCATATGTATTTTTTCTGCCGGTGAGTAAAGTTCCAGAGCTCCACAGGGTAGGGTATTGGGCCAGGGTAGGCAACGGCGCTAGTGACAGCATTGGTATCGAAGCATCTATAGGCTCTGGTGGCCGCTTACCATCAGGCAGGCTATATGCTTCATTGCCACTATTTTCACATAAAAATGTGTTGTATTGTGTAAGTGTAAGTATTTTTAAAAGGCCATTCTTGTGTATTTCTTTACCAATTCTACGAGGCGGCAAAGTGATTTCAGCAAAAGTGTATATAAATGAGACGAATGGACCTTTTAACGTCAAAGAATTGAGGAAAATGTAAGCGAAGCGGAATTAATGGACGACGGTGCTACTGTTTGTTGTCTACGCTCTCTGTTTGACGAGTGAGCCCTCAGACTTCTCGGCAAATAAATCATTTATTCGACCTATCCTCAAGAAAATATAATAAATCAAATGCTATTTAATAAACGATGGAATGTAATAAACTGCTTTTCTTTGTAGATGTCGTCGATGAATATGGTTATTGTTTGTAATATTGCCGCACTATTCTGTTAGAAAAAACTCATATTTCATTAGAATTCAAATTTCAAATCGCACCGCAGATTCCGCGGTGAAAAGAGAGTTTTTTCTTACAGAATGCACTGGCTGGTATACATCCCGGAAAACTTCTTAAGCAACGATCATAATTATATAAGGAAGCCGGCGCAGTAGCTATTTTACATACAAAACCATCTACTGTAGAAGTCAACAATCTATGGAACTAGTGGGTGTGAAATTAAGAAAAAGGGAAAGTGGTTAAAAGCTTTGTATGGTTGGGGGAAAAGTTTCTTCGCATTTTATATGAAAATTCAAAACATTTTTTAATATTTTTTTATTTTTTATGCATGTAACTGCTCGATGTTTAAATCTAAAGTTTTATTTTTAAAAGGTTTCTAAAGAGATTTTATTACAATTTCATACAAGCTATGATGCGAAGACTTTTTCCCCAATCTATTGTAATATCCATTGTTTAGCAGAAATATTCAAGCTGGTTCATCTCAACAGAGGGTTGCCAGATGGTCGAGAACGTTAGCATTCTCCCGAAATTTCGTGTGATGTCCAGAATCCCGATAAACGAATATGACGGTAAACATAATATCTTTTAACCTCCGCAACAATATTTTAAAATGGTGCCACCAGGAACGCATACTATTTCCGCATTGTGACTGTATTATAATGACCACATCATGTGGTCCACATAATGCTATAATTATTATTAGGAATATTTGTAGTTGTTTCCGTTTTCCCGTGGGACGGGAGGCCATTGAACCAACGGACTATTCATTGCTAACTATTAATTCATCTGCGACTGCATGCTTTGCTTGATTGATACCGAGATTAGTTGGCTGGAAGCCAGGCGGCTTATCCGAGAAGTGTTTTACGGGTGCTGAAATATCTTTTAACGCTACGTAATAGATTGATGAGCACATCAAAATATTAGACCGTGAGTGAGGAAAAGACTACTCTTTATTTAGCGTTACAGATAATATTCATCAAAAACAGAAACAACATAGAAACAAAGCGCAGCGTATCTCAGGCTACAACTGCAACATTTGCTTTTCAGTTAGAGTCGGGGTAAGCCTTTTACGATTTGGTAATAATCACAAAAGTTAATCATTTAAAGCTGTACCGTTGCCTTTATCAAGTATTTTTAAGCTGTCACGGATAAACTCCATTAAAATATATGTTAATATATTATGTTATAGTATGTGTTAAAATTAATATTATAACTAATAATAATAAAGTCGGTTAAAATTATTAGCGAAGTAAAAAGAAATAACACGGTTACCATTTCAATTTTATACCTCGCATTATATTTTCATACAATTTCCCTTCAACAACAACATAGCGAGATTAAAACTTTCATCAGTGGGAAACGAAAAAGTGATAAAAAGCTTTTACACGGAATTTGAAAAAGCTGCTCGCCCATAAATTGTTTTTTTCTCAATAGTAGTAATAGTATGACCGTGATTGTGAGCGAAGACATTGCCAAGTATTCATTCATTTACTATCAGGTCGACGACCTGTAGCATTGTAAAGGTTTATTCACACTTAAATAGGTACCTACCTTTTTTGATTTAAATATTTTTTACAGCAAGAATATTAAAAAATATATGAAATACCTAGCAACTAGTAAAGAATTTGATTTTAAAAAGACCTCGTGTATCATTTTTTTGTGAGTAGATACTGTGCTGTGAGCAGTTGTACAAATGAAAATAGTTTCATTCGTACAAGAATGATATAGTGCGCCACTGAAAAAAATACGAATCATTCACAATTATAAATTACGATCCATGATGAATTGCGATCCGTCTAAGTGTGGATGGACCGTGTCTGACGACACTTGATTCTCGGCCAAACTTTCGTTCATATTTGTATGTACCTACTATCAAACGCGTAAAGAAGGCATATAGGCAAAACTTCATCATACAATTGCGTGTGTGTGAGTGATCACCGATGGCCGTTGAGGCGGAAAGGTTCTCGAATGCCGACCACGCACTGGACGACGCTCGGTGGGCAGGCCCATCACCAGGTACGCGCGGACCGTCCTACGCACATCTGCGGGGTCCCCGCAATACCGCGGGAGACCCCTGCCGTGGAGCCCCGGCTAGACCGGGAGGCTGCTGGGTGCGGAGACGCAGAAGAATCCCTAAACGAGGATCCCGCGGTTTCGCACTAAGCAGTTTAGTGGGTATTCGCAGGGTTTTTAGCGGATATTATGCCATAAAGCGCCCGTAAGAGTTACGGGGCAGCCACTGTGGGGGCTCGTAAGGCTTGCGGGAGCCAGGTGTGAGGTCCGTTCGGCGGTGTGCCTCTCGAAGGCGCCGTCGTCTGTAAATAGAGGTTTTGCCTGCGTCACAAAAAAAGGCCCCTCACCAAGTGGACCGACGATAACGAGACCGGTGGTCTGGTGAAGATCGCGGGAAGCCGATGGATGCGTATGGCACAGGACTAATCGATGTGTTGATCATTGGGGGAGGCCTATGCTCAGCAGTGGGTTTCGTACGGCTGGCGGCCTGTCGTGTAAGCAGAGAAATGTTTCTTTCTAGGCATGGGGTGTGTGGTGCCTATGGACTTGGCTTTTGGTGCGCCTGGGAAGTGGGTGTCAAACTTGACCCTGAGCTGCGTTCCTTGTTAGGCAAGGTGCGGTGCGGCTTGTTGTCAGATTTAGCATGGTTCTTGTTCGTCTTTCTTACGGTGTATGAGCGTCGTGCCGGGAAACTGCATCTGGCGTGTAGCTGCTGAGCACGGTCTCGTTTGTCGTATTTGCATTTTTTTTAAGATGGAGCGCTGTTAGAATAAATTAGAAGTGTGGTTTCATGGTGACACCGACTCGAGAGGTCCCGGGTTCTAATCCATGTTGGATGTTTAATATGTATTTTTATATAAATATACTTATATATGTACAATATACGTATTCTATCCGTTACCCTAGTATCCCATAACACAACCCTTACAGTGCTTATTTGGGGCTAGGCTAATTGGTTTAATAAAAAAAAAGAAAGAGTCGTAGCAGCTTAGGCTGAGACAGCGACCTACATTGACATTTCCTTTTTATTTTTTCCTAATGATTTTTACTATATTTATCAATTTCTCTTTGTTTATTTAATGTATATTGTTCTGTTAATGTTTTCTTATGTAGGTCAATAAACGTTTTTCTTTCTTCTTTCTTTTGGAGCCGCCAGTGCTCAATCACACACACGCAGGTGCATGAAGCCTCTGTATCTTCTTTACTCATTTGACGACCCCCGAGGCCGAGTGGTTTGTACGCCGGGTTTATGGTGTCACCGACTCGAGAGGTCCCGGGTTCGTATCCCGGTGGGGGCAGATGTTTGTGTGATGAATACGACCATTTGTACTCCAGTCATGGATGTTTAATATGTATATATATATAAATATACTTATATATGTACAGTATATGTATTCTATCCGTTACACTAGCATCCCATAACACAAGCCTTATAGTGCTTACTTTGAGGCTAGGCTAATTGGTGTGATTGTTGGAAATATTTATTTAATTATTTGGTGCTATATGTGTGTATACTTCGCACACACGCGTGGTCGCAGGGAGCAATCCAATCAAAGATTGCAAACAACCGACTCAGTTTGTGTTTTTATGGTGGTTTGCAGTTATTTCTAGACGGAATGAGCTCAGGTGGTTATTACTGGGCGGGATTGCTTTCAGCGGATTAGTAAGTCTAGCTGTCTATCCATAACTAAGGGCACGCAGCAGTTAGCATAAGTCTAGATTTATTTTATTAGGTGTATCTAAATACGAAGCGGCATATTTAGCAACTGATTTATTGCTTTAAGAAATGCGTTGCGTTGATGTCTCTGTTTAACACGTTGTGCAATTTGTTTAAGTTCCGTTTTTAGTTTTTATACTTATACTTGCTATGTTAGTACTATTGAACAAACTGATTCCTGACTCACTTGCCCGATAATTCGAAAACACAAACACAAAATTTTAGCACAAGTAATTGGAATTGACGGAAAGAGTAAACAACCAACGCGTATGTACGCAGCGATCGATGTATGCGGAGGAAGCTAAAGACAATTTGCTGGGATTCTAAAATAACGAGATTAGTTGTTTATAAGGTAGTTTATAATATTCATAATTTCCTGCCTTGCAGCCTAAGAAAGACTAGAGAAAATTCGACATAGCTATCCGTGCGGGACGCGGTAGCATAATGGCCTGAATAGCGAAGACTATGGGTTCGAGTCCCGACTGCTGCCTGGTCCGCGTGGATTTTTTTCTAATTTATAATATGTTTAATCTTTTCAAATCTCAAAATGATATCTCCCACATTCGTGTTTTAATAACCCTCATTATACAACAGTTGCATAAATAACTATTATGCTGTTGATGATAAGTGTCTACCTTTTTTCAGAGATTACAATCAGCACATTTAAGTCTGCATGTCATAGGTGATATTGTGATGTTAGGTAAGTGACTATAATTTATTAGCTTTATCTTATTACGAAAGTTTTAAAGAAGAACGTACGAAGGTTTTAAGGTTTTACTTTTTTTAATAGAAAATACTTTTTTAATTATTCAAGTGTGAGTGTAAGCAACGCTTACGCGCCAAACCAAAAGAAGAATCCAGTTCAACTATTATTTATCATACTACAGATAATGTAGTTTAGTGCTGTATTTTGTAAGATGGGGAATAATTCCTTACCTCATTATGATAAACTGATGATTATGAGCAGTTGTTTTCCACTCTCACTCGTTTCGGAATTGATTGACAAAGACAAAGCATACGAATGCGATGTCATTAATATAAGAATGGTGATGATTATAGGTAAAAAATTGGTAAAGTGTGAGCCAGCTTCATACAGAAAGGATTCTGTACCATTGAACAAAATTTTACATTGGATCGAGCAAAAACAACAAAAAACTTTCTTATTTTTATTCAAATAACGTTTGACTTCAAATGGTAGTAAAAAGTAAAAATTAACCATTCCGTGGAAATTTCGACTGAATACTAATTACAGTTCATTACAAATAGCCTGTTCACAGACAGACAGACCCGCTGGCAGCGGAGGCTTAGCAATAGGAGTCCATTGTCTCCCTTTTGGGTACGAAACCTTAAAAACTATTCTTCTAATATTATAAATGTGAATGTTTGTATGTTTAAATAAAACTAGTTTTTACGGGTTAATGCACGAAACTTTGAAAGACTTTTATTGAGCTTTCGAAGGTAGCTCGACAAATTAAATAAAAGTTTGATTCTGACGACGTAGTCTGTAAAGGCTACGAAACGTCAATAAATAAATAAAGTTTCGTGCATTAGCCCGTAAAAACTAGTTTTATTTATTGAGTGATGTGCGTGAAAACCTTAGAAACAAATATGTTTGTATGTTTGTTACTCATCACGCAAAAACAACTCAACGGATTTAGATGAAATTTGGTACGCATATAGTTTATGACGTGGATTGAGACAGGATATTTTTATGTTCTGTTCCTGAGGGATTTTCAAAATCCAAAATTTACGCAGACAAATTCGCGGGCTGTCGTTAGTAGTTAATAAATAAATAAGCCCGTGGATATGTTGTCAATCGAAGGTATATGTAGATACGTTGTTTTCAATAAACATTGATACCTACGGGGAGGCAGGTATAACTTTCAGCGCTGTACCGTTTCGCATTTCCATAAATATTAAAACGTACATTACGCCGTACATCGTACGCCGTATAAATCTGAAGGGATTTTGTAAGTACAAAATGTCTGCAAACATGTCATGGAAATACTTATAAACCGGAATACATTAATCAAAATAGATGGTTTCCTAAGTATTTGGACACTTTGTTGTTCGTAGAAAAGGTTGAGCAATATCTTCCAATCACCCTTTCAGATGATGGAAATTGGAAATATGAAAAGACATATTTAGATTAAGAATTAATCATAAATAAAAATAAATATATTTAAGCGCGAAACTCGAGTGCGACTGGACCAATTCGGCAATATTTTTTCCTTAATGCACATGGAAGGTTTTTATATGATAGAGAGAAAAAAACATGGAAATTGCGTGGAAAATAATTTCAATGACTGTTAGTCAATATCGCAAAAACGGCGGAACGGACTTGGATGAAATTTGGCACATGTAAGTTTATTAGTTACCTGGATTGAGACCTACAGTACTTTTTATCCCGGAATAGAATTAGTTTTCTGAGGGATTTAAAAAAAAATAAAGTTAATGCGATCAAAGTTGCGGGCGATCGCTAGTTTTTATATAAAATTGTAGGTACCCTTTTAATTGTTTATTCGAATTTCAACATCCTATCGTTGGATACTTATACCTGTAGAAAAACGTCTAAAACAATGTCGCGTCAACCCAATTTTCTGTCCGGAAATAATGTTTATGATATTAAAGTTTGTCAGCTGGCACTATGTCCTTTTACTCCCAAAAATCCCAATTCAGTATGAGATCAATTCTGCGTATCTTACTAATTAAGTTTTAGTTCATTGATTACGAAACATCTGAACAAATATGTACAGTCTCTTCCTACAGTTCTTCAACATTTAAGGTTTCATTGAAATTACGTTCATCAGAAATTCAATATCACGAAAAAAAATTTTTGTACAGAACCATGCTTTTATTCTGTAGAGGAATTTTTAAAAAATAACTCCTTGAAATGGATGTCGATTTTGGATTAATGTTATTTTGAATATATATCATATATTGACATGAATATTACTGATATATTTTTTTTTATTATTTTAAAGCATGTAACCGCTTCATGTTTAAATCTAAAGAAAATATAACTAGAAAAAATTTCAACGCGGACCAGGCAGCAGACGGGACTGGAACCCGCACCCGCATGAATATTACTTTTGAATTGACATAAGGAATCGTAATTAATATTGACATTGAATTTAATAATACTCTCCGAAATTACCATAATGAAGTAAATTGTATAGGTACATCACGGTAAATTGACATGAAATATTTTACGTTTTTTTAATCATTTAACTACTAGATGTTTCGCGGTAGTAGGGATGTCGAAAGTTGAAAAAAATATCGATATATCGATACATCGATATTTTAAAAAATATCAATATCGGCTTCGATATATCGCGAAAAAAACATTGATATTCGATATATCGGACCAATTTTTCCAAAAATATATTTATGACACGCGGAATAATAATGGAACGAAAATTATCTCCCTAAAAATAGACCCTATTTTCGAATGATGAAAATGATTGCATGGCCTCTCAGGTGCCATCTTTCGTAAACAAGACTAGACAGTCACACACTTCCACAGAATATATTATGGAAATCAGCACAACCAATTCACCAGCGAAACAGATTTACAAATAATAGACAATACTAAATACAGCACAGATCATAGATATGTTCTATATCATTAATCTGAGATCCAGTTACGATTTTTCCAGAAACGAATTTATTTAGATCGTGATATGCCACTAATAATTAAAAAAATATTGTTTTTGATACGAATTTCGATATTGGTTATTTTGTATCGATATATCGAATCAAAAAAATTACGATATATCGATATATTTTCAACAAGCCTACGTGGTAGCATAATCGTCAGTGCATTCGCCTTTATAGCGAAGGGTGCAGGTTCGAGTTCCATCTGCTGCCTGGTCCGCGTGGTTTTTTTTTTGTAAACTTTTCTTTAGATAATATATTGTATTTTGAACTGACATTGGGACTTGTAATTAATACTGACATACATTAGAATTTAAATTATTTTGATAAAATACTTGTTATTAAATGAATGATAGGTAAAACGAGAATACTGTAATATGACTATTATGTTTTAATATGTTCGAAATTTTGCATGCTATTAATATGGCTAAATAGGTTTAAGATTCTTAGCTTTTAACATAAGCTTTATATACAAACACCTTTTGTCAACCCTATTTAATGCAAATAAAGAGTATCCTGTTCTATTCTATTCATGTTGGTGGATGAAACTGGTTTTTCGGATCAAGTGTTTAAGGGATTTATCTGTTACGGAGTAACAATATTATCTGTGATTGTAAATTTCATTTAATTATTATGTAGGTATACACCTACCAATAACCATATATAATGAGAATAGAAAAGAGTTATGAAAAACTGCGATTCAAGTCATATTGAGACTGTCATATTGAGATTGTAATTTAGCTCGATTAAATTGATATTACCTGTAGCAGTGGCTCCGGGACTGCGATCTGCCAGTTGAATTCGAACCTTTTCGTCATGGTGCAAGGTCTACTTCAGCTCTCCACCGGCAACCGCGTCCACTGTGCTCTTTACAAGCCAGCCATTCTTGATATTACTGTGGACAAACAATAGGGTTTAATAAAGCCACTTTACTACTGCAGATTTAATTACTATAGGAGATATTTCCATGGCTAATATCAAAAGGATTACATCCATTTTTACCCGACCAGGGTAAAGTCAAGAGGTTACTTGAATAAAAATGATTGAAACACTGATTTTTATTTATTTAATGCGTCGTCAGAATAATGTTTATTTTAACAGACATTATAATGACGACAGTGCAGCTAACCCGTTGAAACTTTGCTTTATTCAATGAGTGATGTGCATGAAAAACTAAGAAACAAATAGGTTACTTCAACTTACATGTTATTTTTTTTATAAGTTAATAAAAAGCCACGTATTTACCTAAAAGTGTTTGTATTCAGCATTACCAAGACCTAAGACAACTAAACAATGTTTGTTTCTACGTACATTTCAGATCTGTCATTAACGCCTCCTCAAATCTATTCTCAGATTTATCTATAGAAATAGTCTGTTTATGTAAAATGCGTAGGCTCCTGGTAGCTCGACTTTTAGAAAGTATACAACGGCTTATTTATTTTATTTATGTACCATTAAGGAAATCAGAAGGCACATTCTACAATTACCGGTACACGAAAGTTGAGGAGGTAGATAACAATGTAATCCGATATATTTTGTCCTACAGCCTCTTAGCACACAGGCCAATTAGCTGGATATATAAAAGGTCTTTTATTGATGACAGATTTGTCTTTAATCTTTATCCCAGACAGGAAAGAGCAGTGTCGTGATTACGGCGGAGTCATGTCGCTAGTGATGTAGTTGTAACAGGAGACTTTGTCTATAGTATATAGTTACAGTACCTATCAAGAAGTAAGTATGGTTGAAGATAAGACAGGGAAGACACACCCACATGAATATTGCTTTTTGCTATATGATCATGGGAGTTAGTTGAATAAAGCTGAGCAGCTAGCTACTAACGTGAAAAACATTCAAAGACTTTTAGATATATTATCTGACGCACGTTACTATATTTCTTTTTTATACATGATATTATGTTTGTTGACAGTCGTCTGTTTGAAATTAAGAGAAAAATTCACTGACACTATTATTATATGGCCATTATTGGTCTGTATGAGCGTAACAAAATTAAAAAACGGCTAAGTTCACAACTTTTGCCGGCTTTTGGCTTTTGGCCGTATTTTTTCCACAAATCAAATAAATGATCAGTAATTTCTTTTTCAACACATTTTTTAAAAATGTATTTACGAAGATTGTATGTATATAGTCCAGTGAATGAAACATTTTGGGTTGCAATTGTTACGTCCTACATGGATTTACAGTAGATAGGGAATAGCTCTATGAAAATGTATATCATGTCGAGGGGCACCTTTACCCTAGGGGTGGTTGCTACCCTATCTCGGGTGTGTTTTCTAACCTTTTTTACTACAGAAATCGAATAAAAAGGTAATTAAGTAAAAAATGATCTATACATATTTTTCGAAAACTTAACTTATTTAATCGAGTCATTCGCTTCTGAAAGTAACAGTTATTCGAAGAAAAAAATTTCGACGTTTTAATTGTTTTTTCAAAAAAAAAACAAGAAAAAGCTTTTTGTATAATTTCTCTGCAATACGGACAGAGCTACGGCTTGTTAATGATTAGCTTTTGTTCGTCAAATACTGAATTTGAAAGATTCAAAGTGAAACATAGTGGGAAAACTGTGCATATTTCAAGGAAAACTGATAAAAACTTATTTAAAGTTTATATATTTTTTTTAATATCGAGCGAGTTATGATAAAAATAAGGTCGCTGTCTATTTTTTCTACTAAAAAAAATTATGAAAACAACCGCCTAACTACCCTTCTACTTAAAATTGATCTTTGCCTTTCTGCGATTCTCTTTATCTATGTATTATCAATATATCCTTGAAGTATGACTAACTTAAATATTTAATTTTAGTAAAATTGCAGCTTTAAATGAAAAACAATTTGCCGCAATTTTCTAAAACATCCCTTCTCTTCAAAATAACGATAATAAATATGTGGCGAGATATAGCCGTTAAAAGCGTCATTTACGAGCAAGCGCCATCTTATTCGAGCCCTTTAAACTCACCCCATTACTAAATCAAGGGATTTAAAGAGATAGCTTTTAAGCTCTCGAAAAACCCTACAAAATAATGTTAGAAAAAACTTTCTATAATTTTAAAAATGAAGGAGCTGTTTAAATTTGAATATCCCAAATCGAAACACAATTTTATGTACTTTACCGGTATACTTCGCATGCCTGTTCGAAACTTTTTACATTTATTTCAAGATACAGAGGGGGAAGAAACCTCTGCTCATGTGTCTAAGTGTGTTTAGAGTTATTTTCAAGTCCAATAGTGGCTTGGAAACGAAAGCATTTAACAAACACATTGGAGATGGTTTATGAACCAACCGCCTCCACCTGAAAAACTTCTTAAAAAAAATTTTTTTCAATGTACATAATGGTGCGCCTATTTATGTCAAATCGGATAACATTGTAATTCGATTTGTTCTTGGTGCTGGGTGAGGATTGTAATAATAATGTATTACTACAATCCTCACCCAGCACCAAGTTTTCGAGAAATCACGAATTTCAAACGAAACCACACAAAATCTCCGAAGTTCTCAATTAATTAAATACATTTTTTTTAAAATCAGGTTTTGGTGAACATTTGGTTCACTGGTTTGCTAGTTTTTATCTATTGAACAAGTATGTAGTATATTTTTGTATGTAATTCATTTATATCTATGAAATTAATTTTTATGAACTGCAATGTTGTATAGGGTAGTTTATAAGGGTGGAAAATTTGCAAAATACTTAATGAAATTCATAATACACTTACAGACACAACATCTATCGGCCAACTTAGTGTTAGTTAAGAATTTTAAATACATTTTTAAACACTTTTGCTAAATAATAAAAATGCATTTACGGAGGTGAGGTTGTATACATTGATCGAAAGTTCAAAAATACGCACCATGCAACAGAGCGTGCGGTAAAAATGTTTTTTTTTTATTTCGATCGAACCTCATTGGAAGCTCCTTTGATCTATATTTTTAGCACAATTTAATATTAAAAAAAACCTTAAAGTTGACGCCACGTGGAAATGCTCGCTACTTCGTCTAGTAGAAAAAGATTTCTTCATTTCTTGAAAATAATACTCTTTTCTCGCAAATGTGTTGTGAGATATTCGTGCGATATTGGCATTTACAAACTCGTGACTATGGTAATCCTCGACTTCGTCTCGGGCTTACATTCGTCTAATCGTTTGTAATAACCGACTTACCGCACTAATATCATAAATAACTATTGCTCAATGTGACATTATTTTTATTTAGAGACCGCCCAAACTTCAAATGCTAGGTGGGCCGATAGATGTGCTCGGAAGTATATATCAGACAGAAACATGTTTAATGTCTCTGTCAAGCTATTTTTTTCGGTAAGCTCTAACAAACGTTGATTTTTTAGTGTTGAAATATTCTGAAATTGCTTTGCAAAGCATAAACCAATCATTGTACAACTAATCCACACCATATTTAACCTATCTTAAGGTTTAAAATGTTATTTTATAAGTTTTGGCAATACGGGGTAATTTTCACCTTTAAAACCGATCAGCGCCCTTCAGCATGATATAGATTTTGAAGTAGAGAGTAAGATATCTGCAAATCGATGCAGGACGAAAAAATAACGAACTTTTGCCATTTATTGAGCTTCATTTTCTGGACTTATACATTGTTCGAAAGTTCAAAATTACGGGCCATATTAACAGAGCGTGCGGTGCGGCGTGCGGTAAAACGTTTTACCACACGCTTTCTTGTATGTTGCCGTGCGATTCCTTTACGGTTTTTTTATTTCGATCGAACCTCCTGGGAAGCGCTTTGTCTTATTTTAATACTAAAAGCAAAAAGAGACGAAAGATGCAGTTCTAATTTCCACCATCCGCATGTGACTTATTAGAAAACGTACGCTTTATTACTTAAATTATACTGTTTTTTTCGCAAATGTGTTGAAAAACGTTGTATGATATACGTGCGAAATTGGTATTTACTAACTCGTGCCTATATACAGTCACTACTACCACTACATTCGTCTACTCGTTTGTGATAACGAACTTATCGTGCTAATAAATAACTATTTATTCATAACCCGAATGAACGTCAAAATTCAAGACCTTAAACGTGGGTTCGTGAACTTCAGCTTATCGTCTCTTCCGGCTACAAAGGACAAGTTATAGAAAAGAATACTTTTAGAAATGTATTCAAAGTTTTTAAGGAAATAATAAAATAAACATTTTCCATCGGTCAGGAGTCACTGCCCTCGGTTAAGAGTGCCCGACAATGACCCTAGAGATTAAAAGGGCGCGTGAAACCTTTTAATAACCCTATCATATATCAACACTGAAGGATTATTGGGTTTCTAGATACGAGAGAGCCCAAGCAGCACATAGACGTTATAATCAAGGATTTATATACAAACTTACAGACATTAGTTGAATTACGGTAGTATAAGGGTACCCGTAATCTCTGTAAGCTGGACTATAGAATTTATTAAACTTATTCATCTTTTAGCTGCACTACAGCAAATACTTAGTTTTTATTCAGCTACCTACTTTAAAAAAGACACATAGAAATAATCAATATACAGACAAAAGCTGTACAAAATACAGCTTCAAACATTTCAATACACTTCTAGTTTTATAATGTACTTCAATAAGGCATAAACTGTATAAGAGAATAATTAGAATACGTTTGAAAGCTCAAAGTTTTATAATAAAATTACCAAAGAATAAAACCTGTTTATTGCTATATTTCAGTACCATAATGATATTAGTGTCATAAGACTAGGCAAAATCCCCAAAAGAATATTTCACTGTATCATATGGATATCAACAGAAGCTGAACTCGTAGTTTAAACGAATTTGTGAAAAAAATACTTTTCGTACTGAAACGTTTTGCTATTGAGTCTGTTTCCTGTCAGTATACTCGTAGAGCGATAGAGATTCACTGTAAC